CGCTTTCGTGATTATGTTACATCATACAAGACTCGACAGAGTAGCCTGAAGAGACACTTTTCTCTTCTGACATAAAGGAGAATTAAACGGCCATACTGATATTTTTCCTTTGAGATAATTTATCTTTTTATTAAAAACTTTTTTAGATTTTAACTTATTTATTTTTATTGAAGTAGAGTTGATTTACAGTGTTGTGTTAGTCTCAGGTGTACAGCAAAGTGATCCATTATATATATATTTATATATATATTCTTTCTCAGATTTTTTTCCCTTATAGGTTATTACAAAAATTTGAGGTCTTCCCTCGTGGCGCAGTGGTTGAGAGTCCGCCTGCCGAAGCAGGGGACACGGGTTCGTGCCCCGGTCTGGGAATATCCCACATGCAGCGGAGCGGCTGGGCCCGTGAGCCATGGCCGCTGAGCCTGCGCGTCTGGAGCCTGTGCTCCGCAACGGGAGAGGCCACAACAATGACAGGCCCGCGTACCGCAAAATAAAATAAAATAAAATAAAATAAAATAAAATAAAATAAAATAAAATAAAATAAAAATTTGAGTATAGCTCCCTGTGCTGTACAGTAGGTTCTTCTTGGAAACGGCCATATTTTGAGAGTAGGAGGCCATGTGACAAGAATCTGAGGTGGCCTCCAGGAGTGGAGAGGGGCCCTCCACCAAGAGCCAGCAAGAAAACAGGACCTCACTCTTACAACTGCAAGCAACTGAATTCTGCCAACAACCAATGATCCTGGACGTGGAGCCCACACCTCAGATGAGAGCCCAGCCCTGGCTGATTCCGTGCTGGCCGCCTTGGGAGACTCTGAGCAGAGGACCCAGTTAAGTAAGCCATGCTCTCACTCCTGACCCACAGAAGATGTTAGCTAAAAAATCCGTGGTTTTTTAAGCTGCTAAGTTGCAGAAACAATTGATCCTTGCTTAAGACAGGCACATAGATGGTTGTAGCTGCATTGCCTCAACTGAAATGATGATCCAGTTTGAAAATAAATTGATCAGGTGGTAACACAATAATAAAACTTCATTCATATCATAAACAAAAAAAAAAGAGAGAGAGAGCCTTGTGAATTTGTTATTGTCATATATTATATTAATACAAGTCTGGAATTTGGTTTTCCTTCTGTTAAAATGCCAAACTGGTCTTGGCATATTCAGACCATTCTTAGCAACAGGTAGTAAAAAGGCGATTCTTTGTGTAATCTGCCCAGAGAGAGGAGATTCAGAAAATTACCAGAATAACCCCTGGGGCTTGGGCTGAATTGTCATGCCCCAGTTAAAAAAACAAACAAATAAACAAAAAAATACAGAATTTTTTCCCCTCACTTCTGAAAGAGCTAATTTTATTTTTTTAATTTTATTGAAGTATAGTTGAGTTACAATATTGTATTAATTTCTGCTGTATAGCAAGGTGACTCAGTTATATATATATATATATATATATATATATATATATATATATATATATATTCTTTTTCGTATTCTTTTCCATTATGGTTTATCACAGGATACTGAATATAGTTTCCTCTGCTATACAGTAGGACACTGTTGTTTATCCATCCTTTATATAATAGTTTGCATCTGCTAATCCCAATCTCCCAGTCCATTGGAGGCAGGAGATAGATGGGCTCCAGGCTAGACATTTACAACTGGCCTCCTGTTCACACTTACTAGGGTGAGAAGAAGATGGGCTCCAGGTTGCACATTCACTACCAGCCCCCTGTTTACATTTCCTGAAGCAAGAGACAAACGGCCTCTAGGACTACATATTTATGACCAGACTCCTGTTTATATTTTGAGATCTGCACCTCTATATAGAAACCAGCAACAGAAATAGGGTAAATAATTGGAGATTGGACATTCTTATGGCAGGGAGGGAGTGGGACTAAACCCTGTTAAAAGATCAAGAGGTCATACATTTCCCATCCTTGGAGCAAGGGAAACATTGCACATGCGCAGAAAGGTTCCTTGGGGGTCAAAAAGGAGGGGGCGCCACCCCATAATAGGTGATGCTAAGGCCGTCCCATAGGCCTCTGGGCTGTAATCCATCTTCTAAAAAAGTTGAGCACACGGGCTTCCCTGGTGGCGCAGTGGTTGAGAGTCCGCCTGCCGGTGCAGGGGACGCGGGTTTGTGCCCCGGTCCGGGAGGATCCCACATGCCGCGGAGCGGCTGGGCCCGTGAGCCATGGCCGCTGAGCCTGCGCGTCCGGAGCCTGTGCTCCGCAACGGGAGAGGCCACAACAGTGAGAGGTCCGCGTACTGAAAAAAAAAAAAAAAAGGTTGAGCACGCATGTTGGGGAGGGTCCTAGGGCAGGGCAGGTGTGGAAAAAGAAACCAGATAATTGACCAGAGGTAAACAGAGACCCGGAAGAACTGCCCTATATGAATGACTTAACCGCCTCTTTACTGGTCTCCTCCTCATTAGGGAGGATGCCCACACCCTTTCTCTCCGGGTGTGCATCTCCGCCTTGCTTCTGTCTTAACGAAACAAACTGCTTCTCTGTGTGCTCTCCCACCTGTTGTTGTGCTGTCTCTAATAATAAACTCTGTACCTGTTTTTACAGTTTTTGCCTCCGTGAGAAATGCACTTTTCACTGGGGGCAAAAGCCATGGGGTGTAGTGGCCAGGATTCCTGGTTTTCATCCAGGCTCCCCAGGTTCAATTCCTGGGCAGGGAATTAAGATCTTGCTTCACGCCACCACTCACTGCTGCCTCTCTGAGATCCTTCCCCCACACCCCCTACCCCTTGGTAACCCAGGTCCGTTCTCTGTGTCTGTGACTCTGTTTCTGTTTCATAGATATGTTCATTCGTGTCATATTTTAGATTCCACCTATAAGTAATATTATACGGTATTTGTCCTGAAAGAGCTAATTTTAACTGTGTTCTGTTTCTTTTAGAATCTAATCAGATATATGACTATTAGTTTCACATAATGTTTAAGATTTTTAAAAAATGTAACCTGGGACTTCCTTGGTAGTCTAGTGGTTAAGGCTCTGAGCTTCCACTGCCAGGGGCACGGGTTCCATCCCTGGTCAGGGAAGTTCAACATGCTGCAGCACAGTGCGGCCAAAACAAACAAAAAACATGTTCAACTAAGTTGAATTATCATTCTGACACATTTTTATATCAATAGTAATTATGATCCATGTGGTATCAACTGAAGGATAATTTCCAAGAACCTCACTTAACATTAAGAGATTGGACTCATGCTAATTTCTTAATTATTTAACGATCTTTGGATACTGGAACAATTTCTAAGTAAGTCAGAATACTGAAAGTCTGGCCACAAAGAATAGATTTGGTGTTTTTTTTTTTTTTTTTCTTTCTTGCCGCACCATGCTGTTTGCAGGATCTTAGTTCCCTGAACAGGGATCAAACCTGGGCCCCCTGCAGTGAAAGCGTGGAGTTCTAACCACTGGACACCAGGGAATTCCCTAGATTTTGTATTTCTACCTTGACTTCATATTTCTACGCATTGTAGGGTAACATAGATTTGGGTCATGTTAATGAGTGTGCTTATTTTTGACACTTTAAAGTGTGTAAAGGATGTGTGTGGCTTTAGGGGGTAACATCATGCCTCCCAACGTACCCATCCTCAACAGCCTTTGGGTTGTTGGGTCTTTTGACTTGTGGGGTGTGATGCTGTCTCATTGTGGTCAGAACAGCAATTTAATCTCCAAAGGAAGGGGTGGCAGAATGGGTGAGAGTTGCTGTCCTAGTCGGCAAGGGCTGCCATAACAAAATACCACAGACAATGTGGCTTAAAGAACAGACGTTAATTTTCTCAGTTCTGGCGGCTGGACATTCAAGATCAAAATGTCGACAGCATTGATTCCTTCTGAGGTCTCTCTCCTTGGCTTGCAGATGACCACCCTCTCCCTGTGTCCTCACATGGTCGTCCCTCTGTGCATGTCTGTGTCCCAATCTCCTCTTCTTACATGGCAAGTCCACTGTGGCTGTGGAGTGATGTAGCCGAAAAATGACATTTTATGAAAGAACTATCCAACAACCTACGACTGATGCTTGCCTTCATTACCCACCTAATAAACAAAAACACCCAGGCACAGGATATAATATTTAAATGTCTTTGTTAAAATAAATGAATACATTTTTGTCTCTTATTTAAAAAACACAGGGCTTCCCTGGTGGCACAGTGGTTAAGAATCCGCCTGCCAATGCAGGGGACACTAGTTCAAGCCCTGGTCTGGGAAGATCCCACATGCCGCAGAGCAACTAAGCCCTTGAGCCACAACTCCTGAGCCTGCGCTCTAGAGCCCATGAGCCACAACTACTGAGCCCACGTGCCACAGCTACTGAAGCCCATGTGCCTAGAGCCCGTGCTCCACAAGAGAAGCCAATGCAATGAGAAGCCTGCGCACTGCAACAAAGAGTAGCTCCTGCTCTCCACAACTAGAGAAAGCCCACACACAGTAACGAAGACCCAACGCAGCCAAATAAATAAATAAATTTATATATATAAAAAAAACCAATAACAACAAACCAAATAAACAAGTAAGGTGACATTTATTTTTACTTCATCTCCAGGAAGGTATATTTGTGAAGATAGCATCTTCCACACCTGGGGTGAAGGGCAGGCTGTCCTCAGAGGCCTCACGAGGCCTGGAGACAATGGACTACAACTTCCAGAATGCCTCGCGCCAAGAGGTCGCAGACTGGACCCGCCCACTGCACCGCGAAGCCCCCTGGGAGATGTAGTAGGACACTCTAGGTGCCCGCGCGCTGCCTGGCGGACAAGGTTAGTGTGATTATGAGTTCCTAGAACGCCCTGAACGCCCAGAACGCTCATCTTCAGACTCCCCGGACCCTCTGGATGCCCGCCCAATAGTCGCTTCTGTGTGTTACAGTGAGATAAAGTGGTCTCAGTGCGTCCTAGACCTGGCCCGGGAGCCAGGACTTTGATTCCCGAAGGCCCTATTCCCAGCCTAGGCCCGGCCCCGCAAACCCATTGGGCGGTTCCCCCGCGCCGCCACGCCTTCTGGGAAATGTAGTCTGACTCCCTGGACGCCCTGGTCCAGAGTCGGCTGCAGGAATACAACTCCCAGAAGCTCCAGCGCAGCGGCGCCTCAACGTCCCGGGCTCCCCTGTCGCTCTCTCGCGTTGGTCGGTAGGTCGCGCCACAGGGTCTTCTGGTAAATGTAGTCTGACTCTCTGTGCGCTCAGGAACACGGCTCCGGCAGCGGCGCACATGTGTTGGTCGGCAAGCCGCGCCGCGGGTCTCCTGGTCTTGGTAGTTTCCCCGGAGGGCGCGGTCTGGAGACGGAGTAACCGTCGGGAGAGCTGCGGGGTCCGGCCGGCCGGGGCCTGGGGCGGACGGTGTCGGGAGCTGACGGGACCCGAGAACCGTGGCCCTGGCCCCTCCCTGTGTGCAGAGACTCCGGGGTGGGCGTTGCGGGTCGGACCTGACCGCCGTCGAGGTTTGTTACTCGCCTTTCCCAGCTCTGACTCGGTCGAGAGCTCGGAGTCGGAAGAGATGACGGCCACGGGGCTTTTGGCTGCCTGCCTCCCGGTGAGTGGCCTCTCCTCTCCCTCCTGATGGGCTAGGCCTGGACCCCAGGCTAGGGGGCATAACTCCCCCGACTTCGGACCCTCAGCCCGTCGTTCTGGCCGAGGAGGGATGAACAGAAGAGGCAGAAAACTGCCTTGTCCTGCAGTCCTTAAGTGTATCAATAAAGCCCTAGAGCCAGTGAAGATCTAGTCACAAAGCCCCCCAGCAAGAAACTTCCTGACCCGAATGGCTTCAGCTACCACCCGTTTAATGAACAAACGATTCTGGTATTTCCATCGTCTGGAATGATTTGTCTAAAAGAGGGAGCATGTCTCTGTTAATTCTTATGAAGCCCACGTAACCTGTGTTCCAAAACTTGTGCACTTCTCTCAGCTCAGGCTCCTCCTTTGAAAGGACAACAAAACAGACTCCAGGAAGTGGCAACTACTTTCTCAGACTGTTTCCAGGGTTAAGTGAATTTCCGTTAGCGAAAGTGCTGACTTAGCATTGCGCTCAGCCTGGAGAACTCTTGGCAAATGTTAACATTATTATCAGCAGTTAATAACATCATCTTTTTATGCCTGATATATAAAAAGGAAGAGGAATCCTGAAGGATGACTGTACATTTTGATCTTGTGGAGGATCCTTAGTTTATCAAGAAATGCGTGAGATTCTTAGGGGGTAAACATTTCAGTATTATGGGGGCTCTCCTCTGAAATGGCTGATGGAGGCCCCCAGATCCCCCGGGGAACCTTGAGTATCCCTCCGAAGCCAGAACCTTCTCAGGACATCTCTCTGTACGCCTGAGTCCATCCTCACGTTCTCATGTATGCTGCTCCCAGCCCTTGTGGGAGCTTTGCAGAGATCAGGGTCTTAGCTAAGCAGACACGACGGTGACATTTCAGGGGCAGTTAACCTTCGATGATGTGGCTGTGGACTTCACCCAGGAGGAGTAGGGGCTGCTGGGCCCTGGCCAGAAGACCCTGTACCACAACATGATGCTGGAGACCTTTAGGCACTTGGTCACTGTGGGTGAGGCTGTGCCTTGTGTTCACTTGCATCTGCCTGGGGTCTTGGCAGAGTGGGTGTGACCTGGCTGGGAGTGTGGGGTCAGTGAACCCTAGAAGAGTTTCTCTTCTTCCAAGCCCTCAAGGCCTGATCTCTCACTTGGACAGTGTCTTGGATCTCCAAACCAGCTATCGTGGCCCAGCTAGAACTCGGAGTAGAGCCATGGATAATGGACAGAGGACTCTCCCAAGATTCCTGCCCAGGTGAGAAAGGATCTTTACAGTCAATGTTTATATTTTTCTTCATATCTACCCTTTCGTATACTCTTCACTCCCTTTGGTATTTCCATAATTCCTCCTAGGATAATTTTCCTTTTGTCTGAAGAGCTCCCTTTATCATTTCTTTTAGAGTGACAGAATTTCCCCACTTTATGTTTGCCTGAAAATGTCTTTATTTCATCTTCATTTTGGAAAGATACTTTAAGCAGAGAATTTTAAGTTGGCAGTTCTTTTTTTTTTTTTTTCAGCCCTTTAAAGACACCATGCTATTGTTTTCTGTATTCCATGGTTTCTGTTGAGAAGTCAACTCTCCGTCTTATTATTGTTACTTTGAAGACAGTGGGCCTTTTTGTATGTATTTTTGCTAACAGTGCTTTGTTAAATACACAAATTTTAAGTGTACAATTGAAAAATTTTGACAAACGTGTACCTATATGTAATCATTCAAATTGGGCTTGAGGACATTTACATTACCTCACAAATTTCTTTTGTTACCTCTTTCCATTTAAAAAAAAATTTTTATTTATTTATTTATTTATTTATTTATGACTGTGCTGGGTCTTTGTTGCTGCACGTGGGCATTCTGTAGTTGCAGTGAGCGGGGGCTACTCTTCGTTGCGATGCGCGGGCTTCTCACTGTGGTGGCTTCTCGTTGTGGAGCACAGGCTCTAGGCACGTGGGCTTCAGTAGTTGTGGCACTTGGGCTCAGTAGTTGTGGCTTGCGAGCTCTAGAGCACTGTCTCAGTAGTTGCGGTGTGTGGGCTCAGTAGCTGTGGTGCACGGGCTTAGTTGCTCTGCAGCATGTGGGATCTTCCCGGACCAGGGCTCGAACCCGTGTCCCCTGCGTTGGCAGGCAGATTCTTTTTTTTTTTTTTTTTTTGCGGTACGCGGGCCTCTCACTGTTGGGGCCTCTCCCGTTGCGGAGCACAGGCTACGGACGCGCAGGCTCAGCGGCCATGCATGTGTTAATGAATTGTGGCTTTGTCATGGCACTTGAGGAGGGTGACCAGCGGTGTGTGCATGCTTCATGGCCTTATTCAATTAAGCGCTCTATTCTTAATTTACTACTAAATCCTCCTTTAGTTTTTAGGTTTCATAAAAACTTTCGTGTGGGTAAAGGGTGTTATTGGTGTAGAAAATGTAGCCTATTTCTTCCCACCCCATAGGTTACACCTTGACCTAACGTTCTTAGGTGTTACAATTGTGCTTACTTCTGCTCCTTTTTAGGGTTTGCTGAAGATGGAGGCATATAGACTGGAGTAGCAAGGGTTGGTGAGGTTTATCGGGGTTTATCGATTATAGAACAGGCTCCTCTAGAGAGGTGTGAAGCACCAGCAAGTCCTTTGAGTTTTAAGCTGTTGCCAGTAGTACTCTGGCGAATAGTCTAGTTCTTATGATTATTTGGGTTTAGGGCTAAGCGTAGTGGGATATCTAATCCCAGTTTGGGTCTTAGCTATCGTGTGATCAGAATATGTTAAAGTCACTTTAGTAGTTTATTTTTATTTTAATTATGGTTTTTTACACCTTAATTAAGGTTTAACTTTATATTGTATGGTTCTTTAACACGCTTTACGCCGTAGTTCTATTAATTTGGGTCAATCATATGACGGCGGTGGCTGGCACGAAATTTACCAAACCAGATTAATATGGCTTAGTCAAACTTCCATTTATGGCTTAATTTTTATCACTGCTGTCTCCCATGGGGGTGTGGTTGAGCAAGGTGTTGTGAGCTGCTGGTATAGCATGCTTGATACCTGCTCCTTTCAATCTTAGTGATTTGGAGGGCATTCTCACCGGAGTGCGGATACTTGCATGTGTAATTCTATTAAAAACTAATAGAAAGGCTGGGACCAAACCGTTATGTTTACGGGGCTAGTGAGCCCATCTAGACATTTTCAGTGTCTTGCTTTAGGAAATATTTAAGCTACATTAACTTGTTGCACATAGCTGGTGTTTGTATGGTTGTATTATGTGGCTTATGTCAGATTTAGTATTAAATTTTTGATAAGATGGCTGGCGAATCTAGGGGGATGTCTCTCTATATGGGTGGTGAATATCTAAGTAGCTCATTGGTATGATAGGGAGGGGGTTGAGGTTGATTTATTGTGATGGATAAATATTTTAAGCCGGGGTGGGGAATAGTAAAGTGCTATGTCCTGTGACCATTAAGTGATTGTACAACACAGGTTGCTCTTGCCAATTAATAAATACTCCAGGTCCAGCTACAATTTGCTTGACTGTGTTAAGACCTTTTAAGGTCATAGCTGAGTCTAAGCACTTTGCACCCCCCCCAAAATAGAAAATACCAAATATATGAAATCGCAGTTATATGTGAGCGTGGGCTGATCAGTCATTAACCCATCGAGATGTCTTACTTAAGGGGAAAGAGTGGGCGATTTTAGGTGAGATGGCCCTGAAGTAAGAACCAGGTGTCTGATAAAGTTCAGTAGAAACCCCCACAAGTTATGGGCCCGGCGCGAGAAGAGGGACGCCTGCCGAGCGGGTTGATGGTTTCACGCAGCCTGGTGATTAAGCTCGTGGTCTAATGGACGGGATTCCAAGCATGTTGATTTAAACTGATTTAACTTAATGTACTATGTTCGATCAATAATATGTATTATGTAATATCAATGATTACATTACATACTAATATTCCCCATATTAGTTGTGTTTGGTTATACAACGGCTATAGCCGCTGAACAATATCCTGAGGTTTGGGTTTCTAATAAGGTTGTATTGGGGGCATTTCTTTTAGGGTTAACAGTAGAGTTTTTACTGGTGTTTTGTATTTTGAAGGATGAGGATGTGGAAATTGTGTTTAAGTTTAATGGGTTGGGGGATTAGGTTATTTCTGATACTGGTGACTCTAGGTGTCTTAGTGAGGAGGCTGTGGGGATTGTGGATTATATAGTTGTGGTACTTGGTTGGTGATTGTTACTGGTTGGTCATTATTTATTGGTGTTGTGCTTATTATGGAGATTACTCGGGGTAATTAAATAAGAGTATACTAAGGGTGATGGTGATGAGAAATGATAGAAAGTATAGTTTAATAAGGTCTTTTTGGTTTGAGATTAGTGTGGAGGATTTTAGTTGAATGAAGGCTATAGTCTTTGGTAAGATAGTTTCTAGTCAGATTAAGTCTAGGAGGGAGGTTGCTAATTTTTGGCTCATTAATAGGTTTAGATGGGGAGGTAGGCCGTGTATGATGGTAGGGAAATATCCTAGGAGAGTAGAGAATTTAAAGGAATTTGAGGGTAAGTATATTTTGAGTTTTGTGCGTTAAGGTTGGTTTCGAATGCTAGTACAAAACCCGAGCTGTTACTACGAGGGCAGTTAGTTTTAAGTGCAAAGGTGTGGTTATTAGGGGGATGGTTGTTGGGGGAATGTTGTTGGAGATGATGAATCCAGCAAAGATACTTCCGGTTAGTAGGTGTTTGATAGAATTAACTAGGAGGGGATTGTTTTTATTGATAGGAGCTGAGGTATAGAAGCGGGTTGTCCCAGTAGTGTGAAGAAGATGATGCGAGTGCTAGAGATGGCTGTGAGGGAGGTAGCAATTAGAGTTATTAATAGGGCTCAGGCGTTGGTATAAGATGTGGTGGTGGTTTCGATGATTAGGTCTTTAGAGTAAAAACCAGTGAGAAAAGGCATTCCTGTCAGTGCCAGGCACCCAGTGATAAGCGCTGTTGCAATGAAGGGCAGGGTTTTGAATAGGCCTCCTATTTTTCGAATGTTTTGCTCGTTGTTTAGGTTGTGGATAATGGATCCAGAGCACATGAATAGTATGGCTTTAAAAAAAGCATGTGTGCAAATATGTAAGAATGCTCGATGGGGTTGGTTGATACCGATTGTTACCATCATCAGACCTAATTGGCTTGAGGTAGAGAAAGCGATAATTTTTTTTAATGTCGTTTTGGGTGAGAGTGCATATAGCTGTGAGTAGGGTGGTAAGAGCTCCTAGGCATAATGTTATTGTTTGAATGAGTATGTTGTTTTCTGTTAAAGGGTAAAATCGGATAAGCAGGAAAATTCCTGCTATGGCCATTGTGCTTGAGTGGAGTAGGGCTGATACTGGGGTAGGACCATCTATTGCTGAAGGGAGTCAAGGGTGAAGTCCAAATTGGGCTGATTTTCCGGCTGCGGCTAGTACGAGTCCTGTGAGGGGGAGGTTTAGAGAATTTAGGTCGAGTATAAAATTTTGTTGTAGGTCTCATGCCTTTGAGTTGGACAGAAATCATGCTATTGATATAATGAATCCGATATCTCTGATGTGGTTATGTAAGATTGCTTGGAGAGCAGCTGTGTTTGCGTCTGTTCTTCCATATCATCACACGATGAGTAGGAAAGATATGATTCCTACCCCCTCTCACCCAATAAAAAGTTGGAAGAGGTTGTTGGCTGTAACAAGGATTAGTATAGTAATGAGGAAGAAGAGTAGGTATTTGAAGAATTGGTTGACATAAGGATCTGAATGTATGTATCATATTGAGAACTCTATGATGGATCATGTGATAGACAATGCCACTGGTACAAACATAATTGAGAAATAATCTATTCTGAAGCTGAGTGTCAATTTAAGGGTTTGGACAGTGATTCAGTGTCAGTTTGAAGTGATTATTTCTTGGCCTGTATGAAGGAATATTATTGTTGGGATTAGACGGGTAATGAAAGCACATGAGATGGTATTTTTTTACATATGATGGGTATTTATCACTTTTGTAGGAGTTTGTACTAGTTATCATGATTGGAATAATTAGTACTAGTAATGTGATTAGGGCAAAAGAAGAGAACAGGTTTATTACTTTTATTTGGAGTTGCACCAGTCTTTTGGTTCCTAAGACCAATGGATAACTACCATCCTTTAAAAGTTTGGAAAAGCCATACTATTAGTCATGGGGGCATGAATTAGCAGTTCTTGCAGTAGTTTCTCGGTAAATAAGAAGTTTTAGTCTTCTGTTGCTAGATTCACAATCTAGTGTTTTTTTAAACTATATTTACAGTATAGGGGGCCCAAGATGATTTTAGGATTTAGTGACAGGAGTAGAAGTGGCAGGATATGGAGAGCTATAAGGGCGTTTTCTCATGTGAAGGAGGGTGTAATATTACTGATGTCGTGTGTACATTTGCCGCGTTGTGTTGTGATTAGTATATACATAGAGTATAGGGTTGTAATTACAATATTGGTTCCTATTAGGATAATAGTGAGGTTTGATCATGAGAAAGTTGATATAACTACGAACAGTTCTCCAATTAGATTAATAGTAGGGGATAGGACCAGGTTTGTTAGGCTTGCTAGTAATCATCAAGTGATGATTAGTGGGAGGATAATTTGTAGACCTCGGGCTAGGATTATAGTTCGGCTAGGATTCGTTCATAATTTGAGTTTGCTAGGCAAAATAATATAGACGATGTGAGGCTGTGGGCAATTATTAGGGCGGTAGCCCCTATGTAGCTTCAAGGGGCTTGAATGAGGATAGCTGCGATAACAAGTGCCGTGTGGCTGACTGAGGAGTAGGCGATGAGTGATTTTAGGTCTGTTTGACATAGACAAATAGAACTGGTTATGATTATTCCCCATAAGGAAAGCATAAGGAAAGGGTATGCTCTGAACTCTGTTAGGGGGTTGAGTATTGATGTGATCCGTGGTATGCCATAGCCCCTGAGTTTTAGTAGTATGGCTGCAAGGACTATAGAGCCTTCGATAGCAGCTTCTACATGTGATTTGGGTAGTCAAAGGTGGAGGCCGTAGAGGGGTATTTTTACTATAAAGGCTATCATGCAGGCCAATCATATAAAGACGTTGGATCAGGAGTTGAATAGTGGTTGAGCTCAATATTGAAGTACTAGGAAATTTAGAGAGCCTATGATGTTTTGTATATATGTTAGTGCCACTAGTAATGGGAGTGACCCAACTAGTGTGTAGAATAAAAAATAGAGTCCGGTGTTAAGTTGCTCTGTTTGGTTACGTCAACAGGTAATGATAATGAGGGTAGGAACTAGTGTGGCTTCAAATATAATGGAAAATAGTTCTGTGGCGGTGAATGTTGTGATTAGGAATGATTGGTATTAGTAACATGATTAGTATTGTGATGTATAGCTTTTTTTGGATTAGTGGCTCTTTGAGTAGGTAAGATTGACTGGCTATTAGTATTAGGGGAAGGAGTCATATTGTTAGGATTAGTGATGGTGGGGAGAGGGAGTCAGAGAAGAATGTTAATGAGATGTTGAGGCTATTGTCGTTGAATTGGTTAAGAAGAAGTAGGCTTGTGAGACTAATTAGTAGACTGAGGGTTGTGGAGTTAATTCAGATTATACTACTTCCCCCCGCCCCCGTACGCGGGCCTCTCACTGTTGTGGCCTCTCCCGTTGCGGAGCACAGGCTCCGGACGCGCAGGCTCAGCGGCCATGGCTCACAGGCCCAGCCGCTCCACGGCATGTGGGATCTTCCCGGACCGGGGCACGAACTCGTGTCCCCTGCATCGGCAGGCGGACTCTCAACCACTGCGCCACCAGGGAAGCCCTATACTACATTTTGATAGCCAAGTTAGGGGTATTAGTATGATTGTGGGGCTGATAAATTTTAGCATTGGAGAAGATTGAGGTTTTGTATGTAATCGGTTCCATATTTGTTTGATACCATTACCGATAAGGCTAATATGAGGGCTGCTTCGCAGGCCGCGAATACCAGTAAGGTGATTGGTATTATGCTGGCTAAGGTGAAATGTGAGTTTAAGGTTGTCAGGGCTGCTGGGATAAATAGTGACAGTATCATGCTCTCTGGGCATAGTAGTGAGAATATTAGGTGGGACAGTGACCCTATGAGGGACATAGTGAAAGCTATGATAATATTTATATGTACTAAGGACACTTGGTAATTACGAGTTTAACCATAATCTAATGAGTCGAAATCACTTGTTTTATTTTCAACTAAATACCATATTCAGCTCGCTCCAATCACCTTTGAGTTCATTCATAGGCCAGGCTAACTGGTAATAATGAGATTAAAAGTAGGGCTATGGTAAGTATTGTTTTTAGGTTGTCTAGGTCGAAAAGGAGGAAGGTGATCGCTACTAGGAAAAATTTTATGGAAAAGGGTAGGCGGGCGGATCCTATAGGGTCAAATCTGCATTCCTAGGGGCTTGTTTTTTCTGTGTGTTTAGTTGAGGAAGTCAGAAGGCGATAAGTACGAGTAATGAGGCTAGTATTGTGTTTGTTAATAGGGTCAGTATTAGGTTTATTGTTCTTTATTGGGGTGTACCGAAACTAGCTGATTGGAAGTCAGTTGTACTAATTAATGCTAAAAGGACTATGAGCCTCATCAATAGACAGATACATAAAGAGTCATACAACGTCTACAGAACGTCAGTATCAATCAGCAGCTTCGAAGCCGCAGTGGTGGTTTGATGTGAAGTGGAATTTTAATTGGCGTAGGAAACAAACAATAAGGAAAGTAGACCCAATAATTACATGTAGTCCGTTGAATCCTGTGGCTATGAAGAAAGTTGATCTGTAGACTCCATCTGAGATCGTAAATGGGGCTTCGTAATACTCTGATGCTTGTAGGAGTGTAAAATAAACACCGAGGGCGATTGTAATAAGAAGTGCTTGAAGTATGTGCTTACGATTTCCTTCTATAAGGCTGTGATGGGCTCAGGTAATGGATACGCCAGAGGCCAATAACACAGAAGTGTTGAGGAGTGGTACTTCTAGGGGGTTTCAGGGGTGAATGCATAAGGGGTAGCCAGCACCTGCCTAATTCAGGGGTAGGGGCGGGGCTTGAGTGGTAGAAGGCTCAAGAAAAGCTGGTAAAAAATAGGACTTCTGATACGATAAATAAGATTGTTCCGTCTCAAAGTCCCTTTTGGACGGTTGGTGTGTGGTGGCCTTGGAAAGTGCTTTCTCGAATGACGTCTCGTCATCATTGATATATTGTTAGAATATTAGTTAGTAGGCCCAGTATTAGTAGAACTATTGAGTTGAAGTGGAATCATATGTTATGAGAAGTGCTGAAAGAGCTCCTGTGAGAGGTCAAGGACTAGGATTTACTATGTGACACGTGTGGGTTTGGTGGGTCACTATGTGTTGCTATGCAGGTATAAGCTTACTAAGAGGGTGAATACATAGGCTGGAATTATAGCAACAGCGAATTTGAGGATGGGGAGTAGGGCGAGAATGATAAATGTAATGAGAGCCGTGAATGTGCTGGTGCTTATTAGCACTAGGGTTGTCTCTTCGATTAGATGTATTAGTAAGTGGCCTGCTGTAATATTGGCTGTTAGTCATACAGCCAGTGCTACTGGTTGGATGAATAATAGGCTGATAGTTTCGATAATTTCTAGCATAGGGATAAGGAGGGTGGGTGTGCCTTGTGATAAGAAGTGGTCTAGGGATGCTTGTGTTTTATTAAGGAAACCTGTAATGATGGCACTGGCTCATAGGGGGATGGCCATTCCCACATTCATTGAGAGCTGTGTGGTGGGGGTAAATTAGTGGGGTAATAGTCCAAGGAGATTGGTTGAGCCAATAACTAGAATGAGTGATATTAGTATTAGTGATCAGATTTGTCCTTTATGATTATGGATACCTATTATTTGTTTTCATGTGAGTTGAATTAGTCATTGTTGAAGGGAAATTATGCAATTATTAATTAGTCCTTTTGATGTTGGAAATAAAGTACTTGGGAATATAATGATTAGAACGACTACAGGGAGGCCTATTATTGGGGTTATGAAAGGGGCAAATAGATTTTCGTTCATACTGTTTCTCAAGGGGCAGGTTGTTTTTGCACTTTAGTGAGTGCTGATTTTGGGTTGGGGTAGTAGATGTGTTTTGAGATTTTTAGTTGAAATATAAATAATGTTAGAAATATAGATGAAATAGTAGTAAATCATGTTGATATATCTAGTTGTGTCATGCTATCAAGGAGAACTTTAGCTTTCAGTCTTTAATTTAAAAGGTTAACAATAATCTAGCTTCTTAATGAGTTTATAGCATAGACGTGGATCATTTTTCAAAGTATTTTAGGGGCACTAGCTCAAGGACAGTTGGCATGAAGCTATGGTTAGACCCATAGATCTCTGAACACTGTCCGTAATACAAGCCTGGTCGTGTTGATATTAGGGTTGTTTGGTTTAGGTGCCCTGGGATTGCGTCTGTCTTTAGGCCTAAGGAGGGTACCGCATGAGTGTAATACGTCTTCGAAGGAGATTAGTATTTGGATTGTTATCTCTATAGGTAAAACTACTCAGTTATCTACTTCTAGCAGTCGTAGCTCTCCTGGTTTTAGGTCTAGTGTTGGGATTATATAGGAATCAAAATTTAGGTCTTCGTGGTCTGTATATTCATAGCTTCAGTATCATTGGTGGCCTATAGGTTTTACAGTAAGAGATGGATTGTTGATTTCATCTATTATATAAAGGATTCGTAATGATGGCAAGGCAATTAAGATTAAGATAATAGCCGGTAGGATAGTCCAGATAGCTTCTACTTCTTGTGCATCTGTTGTGCTAGTATGTGTTAGCTTAGTTGTAAGTATTATATAGATGTATTATATAGAATATAATATAAGTATTATACTTATAAGTAATATAAGTATTATATAGAATACTTATAAGTAATATAAGTATTACTTATAAGTAATATAAGTATTATAATACTTATAAGTAATATAAGTATTACTTATAAGTATTCTATATAATACTTATAAGTAATATAAGTATTATATAGAATACTTAGTTGTAAGTATTATAGCATAATAATATAGAGAACTAAGGAGCTAATTAGGAAAAACAGTTATCAGTGTGTGGTCTTGAAAATGTAGCAGTTGTTCTATCATGCGTGATGTTACGTCTTGAAAACCTAGTTGGAAGGGATATGCCATAGAGTATACAAGATTTTCACTTGTGACTTAACTTCGACAAAGTTATGTAAAATTTTACTAATACCTCGTTCATGAAGAAAGACATAGCGGCTATGATGTTGGCCTGAAACCAATAAAAGAGGGTTCGATTCCTTCCTTTCTTGGCTACTTTAGATTAACGTAAGTTGGCTATTCAAATGTATGGTATGGTGGAGGACATCCATTTAACCACTCTAATTTGTAAGTTCTACTGTTAATACTTCTCCTTTGGATGTGAATACTTCTCAGATAATGAAGACTATCAGTATGACCGCTGTTAATGAGATGAATAAGCCTATTGATGAAATAGTATTTCATGTTGTATAGGCGTCTGGATAGTCGGAGTACCATCGAGGCATGCCAGATAAGCCTAGAAAATGTTGTGGGAAGAAGGTTATGTTGACACCCACGAATATGATCACGAAGTGAATTTTTGCTCATGTTGAGTGTATATCCTGAGAGTAGTGGAAATCAGTGTACAAATCCTCCTATGATAGCAGAAATAGCTCCCATTAAGAGCACATAGTGAAAGTGTGTGAATACATAGTAGGTATCATGAAGGACAATGTCTAATGATGAATTATCTAGGACAGTACCTGTTAGTCCGCCGACTGTGAAAAGGAAGATGAAACCTAAGGCTCACCTCATGTCCGGGCACCATTTAATATTGCCTCCATGGAGTGTTGCCAGTCAGCTAAATACTTTTACCCCTGTAGGAATAGCAGTAATTATAGTGGCTGATGTAAAGTATGCTCGCGAATCAACGTCTATACCTACTGTGAATATTTGATGGGCCCATATGATAAACCCTAAGAACCCGATTGATATTATAGCTCATACCATACTCATATACCCGAGAGGCTCTTTTTTACCTGAGTAATAGGTTACAATGTGTGAGATCATTCCAAATCCAGGTGGGATTAAAATGTATACTTCAGGGTGTCCAAAGAATCAAAATAGATGTTGATATAAGGTTGGGTCTCCTCTTCCCGCAGGATCGAAGAAAGTTGTGTTCAGGTTTCGATCAGTTAATAGCATGGTGATTCTGGCTGCTAGGACAGGTAAGGATAGTAGAAGCAATACTGCTGTGATTAGTACTGATCATACGAATAGTGGTGTTTGGTACTGGGTTATAGCGGATGGTTTTATGTTGATGATAGTAGTGATAAAATTAATAGCCCCGGGCTTCCCTGGTGGCGCAGTGGTTGAGAGTCCCCCTGCCGATGCAGGGGACACGGGTTCGTGCCCCAGTCCGGGAAGATCCCACATGCCGTGGAGTGGCTGGGCCCGTGGGCCATGGCCACTGGGCCTGCGTGTCTGGAGCCTGTGCTCCGCAACGGGAGAGGCTGCAGCGGTGAGAGGCCCGCGTACTGCAAAAAACAAACAAAAAAAAATTAACAGCCCCAAGAATTGAGAATACACCAGCTAAATGTAGAGAAAAAATAGTAAGGTCAACTGAAGCTCCTGCGTATGCTAAGTTTCCAGCTAAGGGTGGATATACAATTCAACCTGTACCCGCACCGGCTTCAACTATTAATGATGCTAGTAACAATAGGAAAGAAGGAGGGAGTAATCAGAAACTCATATTGTTTATACGGGGAAAAGCCGTATTGGTCGCCCCAATTATTAGGGGTACTAGCCAGTTTCCAAACCCGCCAATTATAATGGGTATAACTGTAAAGAAAATTATTACAAATGCGTGGGCCGTTACTACCACGTTGTAAATTTGGTCATCTCCGAACAGTGTTCTGGGTTGGCCTAGTTAAGTGCGAATTAATAAGCTTAGACTAGTGCCCACCATTCCGGATCAAGAGTCAAATAGTAAGTATAAAGTACCAATGTCTTTGTGGTTGGTTGAGAATAATCAGCAATTTATGAATATAGGTA